ACTACCAAATATTTGAATTCACGGAAAATAAATATTCCGGTAGAATTTCGCATTTTATTTTATGTTGCATAATACTCTACAGTACGGCAATTTATGATGAAGAATACACTGGTTTTTTATTATAAATAAGTACAGTTGTTTATGATGCTTATATCATATCATAATGTACTGATGAAAAATAAAACACGGGTAGAAATATTCACATTCGATAGACTATAACAAGAAAACAATTTAATAAATGGCTCTGTGCATCAATTTGTGTGTCATATGACTTCAGTATCATCACTCCTTCAAGGCAGCTTGAAAGAATAATAATACTCCTATGTTAACTATTAAACTCAACTTTCTATATGGAATTGGGTTAACTATCAATAAATACAATGTATCGAAATAATTTACTACATGTGGAAAGAGAGGATATCAGTACATCACAGAGTCGAATAAAGAAAGCATATATTTCGGCGATGATAAAAACAATTCATTCTCATGGTCTCACAGCGGATAAAATCTTGCATCAATTGACATATGGGCATTCTAAGAACAATAGAAAGGAATCTTGAATTCAAAGTTTATCACAACCAAGAATTTCAAATACAGAAGAAATGGTGCTTTCAAAGCAAGAAAGCTGAAAGACTACTAAATGAATTATATCGGAAACAGTAAAAAATAATCTCACTTTAGATAGACAAGAAGGGATACATCAATGAAATGAATTTACTAAAGAAATTGAAGGATAATAAGAAGATGATAAGCACATTGAAGCGAGAGAATGATACATCTATAAAGATGAGTGGATCATTTAAGGAAGAATAAAATGAATGGGCTAAAGGAGAGTATTTAGAAGCATAGTCACTTGGAACAAGAGAATACAAAGTCAAAGCGTAAAATAGACAAATAGACAAATATCATAGACATGTGCATAACCCATCATTCTGTAGTTGACACAAAAAACAAAATAAACAATTAACTTAGTTTTATATACACATATTAGCCATGCTATTAATTCAATTATTTCATGTTTTCGAAGCAAGAGACTCGCCTTAAACCAATAATACAAGATTTATCCGGCTTATTTAAAGCATTCGTTATTTTCACGCTATTCAATACTATACTTTCATCATCTTTAGTATACTATGATACTCAGTTCAATTACGTTCTTTATGTTATTCGAGAAGAATTCATCTATTCTAGTGGATCGATTATAGATTCTCATCTATTTTCATATTTTGTATTTATAATAACCTTTTATTTTAGTTTTCTTTTAACCGATAATGGTTGATTGAATTAATATAAATACTGTGATATTTATCACACAATAAACTTCATCTTCATTCTCACATTTATTTTTATCTTATTACTTAAAGCGTTGGTGCAGAAGCCCCTTTACTTCTTATTTATATTGATTGCTGGCATCGAGGTGTACTCTGCCCTATTTTATTTGTTGAAGGTCCATAGATATTATATCGATTCAGTTCTATAATTCTGTGTTATTATTATTTTTATTCCATTCTATTTTATTTTATATCTTTCTTTCTCTCCTCTTGTATAAAAAGTCTATCTTTTATATAAGAAAACTATAGTAACAACACTTTAAATTGTTGGTGTTCACTATTATCTGCTGAACCTACTAAAAACTGCAGCAAAAATCGTCATGGTCTAAACCATGGAAAGCAAAAAAATCTCGTCAACAGCAGGGTTTGAACCTGCGCGGGCGAAGCCCATTAGATTTCAAGTCTAACACCTTAACCACTCGGTCATATTGACTATTTTTGGTAATTCTAAATTTTTGTTAAATTTAACCGTATTTTTAAGCCACAAGAAAACAAGTCCTTCCTTAAATTCAGTCACATGAAGGTAACTCAAGTCATCCAAAATGGATCAATCATCCCAAAGTGGATTGGTTTTCTCAAAACGAGCGAAAGATGATACTTACATGATGTGATTTTGGTGGAAAATAGAAGATAGTAGAAAAAACAATGGCCATGATTGAAGTTATTAATATAAGAACTAGTAAAGCGTATTTGGTTAAAAATTGACAAATAGACTTATCCATGATCTAAATGTTATACATAAACATATAAAGTACGATGGGTGATCACAACGTGGCGCTTTTGAGGCGATTAAAAGCTTCTGGACGCTCACTGTTATTCCTTGCCATATATATGAATACGTATCTGATGTTCATGGCGGCCATATGGTCCCGATTGAAATGTTTACCACAATCTGTGCATTTGAGAACCGGATGAAGAAATTGAGTGGATACGTCTTTTTCATTTACTGTATCTCTCTTGTATATTAATCCGTTATCTCCACTCGGATTTAACAAAAAAAAGATTTATTTCAAACAATATTCCATTTTGATATACTTTTAGTTATTCGCATTTTCCCCTCTGAAATACGATACTTGACATCATGCAAATATTTCACCAGTCACAAGTGTTTTTTGAAGGCACCATTGCTGGTATCATTGGCATCATTGGCATCAACGTCAACTAAAAGACTGTTCAATGAGGGGAAAGGAGAGAAATAATGGACTGAGATTAAGTTCAAAAGAAGAAATAAGTGTAAAACGAAGCAAGTTTGATTAAAGGAAGATTGGCCCTGCATTATCAGGTCCCACTTCATTTATTATTGAAATATCTCGGAAAATGATCACAAATTGGTACAGAGTAACTATACAGTTACTAATAATGTGAGTGACCAATAGATTTAGATGTCTGAATTAGTTTATTTTCAAACATTTCTTGAAATTGAAGGTGAAGAGAGGATGCAATTTTCAAACCATTGACTCACTTTGAATTGGCTGACCCAATATCAAATTATTGGGTCATTTTAGTTAAGACTAACCCAAGGACTGTAATAAAATATTCATGCTAGTTTATCGCTATGATGAATATCCTTTCTGTTGTCCATGGTATTTTCTGTAATATAATGACTTGTATTTTTAATATAAAAAAGTATATTGGTTCTTTTGAATGGTTTCCAGAAACGGAACTAATCTATACTCTCTCTTTATTGTTTTGTTCTAAGCGTCATCCAAATAAACTATTCTCTTGTCTCTAAATATATAAAATAATATTGATTTGTTTATTTACAAGATAATAATAATAGCAATTTGTGTTTTGTATAATTTAAACAAATCTAATAATAATAATATCGAGTTAATAACAATAATACATCATTTTCTCTACTTATTTACCTAAAATTATCGCTTTCAACGTAGTAGTTGCCTGCTTGATTTTCATCAGGCATTAAAATAAATGTTTGCGAGAACGTACGCTTTGCTGGATTATCGCCGTATTTGACTGTTCCCGTCACGGTAATCATAATACCACAAGCACCTTGCGCGTTCATGGTGGCAGGGAGAGGATGACAGTTGTAAACATCCACTTCATGGTGGGACATGGGTAATCGTCCTAAAAATTGTGAGAATTCTTGAGGTCCAGAAAAGTCGTTGCCTGTAATAAAGTGTTTTTAGCTTTTTTACTTTTATTATAATATAAAGTAGACTTACCGTTCCATAATATGCGTGAGTTATCACGATATAAGCTACCGAGATTCTATAGTATATTGTTCAGTGATTCTATGTTAAGAATAATAAACTATCCATCTACCTGTCGTTGTGAATCATAATTAGGATAAAAAAACTGAATGAATTGTTCAGTGCTCTTTTCAGCTACGACGATGATGTCCATTGTAATTATAAAATAAAGTGATAAAGGTGAAGTAAAAAAAAAAGACAAAAAAAACCGTGATAAATGAAAGACAAATGCAGCCAATGAAAAAGAGTCACTCGATTCATTGTTGAAAAAGGGCAATTGTTGAATATTTAAGCCACTCTTATCACTTTATTTACAAACAAGACGTTTATACAAAGGGGATATTCTTCTTTTTACCATCGGTACTGTAATAACAATACGAGGATATGGAACACTGAGGTGTTGGGTTCGTCCAGCACGTTCTTATTTTGGGTATTCCAATCAGTACAAATACCCTCCGTCAAAAATTCTATTTTTGTTTAATAATAGGTTGATATCAATTGAGTTTGGTGTAGAGTTGAGTTGGGTAATAACAAGAAGTGATGTATCTCATTATCAATAGAATGACTCTCTTATCCATTATAATACAATTTTTACCATTATTATTAGACACTCTTTCTCCCAATTCAATACCAAACATTCTTCATTCTATGATTATTATTTTATAAAAAAGAGAGCAAAAGGTTATTTTTTTTAAAGAGACAAATATATATTTTCAGTTAAAAAGCGGTCAAAAGAGAAAGAGGGTTGTTGTTTATAAAAACTGTTACACTTAGAAGTAAGAGATATCGCCAAACTTCTCCTTGTAGCCAGGAATGGTGAACTTGCCCTTTTGGAGCATATCTTCAATGTTCTTGGTGATTTCGGGCTTGGCAACAACGATATCGTCAACCTAACAGAGCAAAAAAAAACGTCATTTAATATCCACTATGTACATATCCAAAAAGCAAACAAACTTACAGTGAGTTGTTCAATGGGACGAGAACCTTCAATGTTGGTGAGAGTGGCCTGAAGATCCTTGAGTTCGTGCTCAATTTGTTGAACAGTCTTCTCGGCCTTGGAAACCTATAATAATGTCTTAATATCTACAATAAAAAAAAAGAAAATAAATACATAAAAAACTTACAGCCTTGGATTCAAACTGGTTGATAGCGTTCAATTGAGCCTCCAAGTTGTAAGCAACAGGCTTGAATCCAGAAACGGCCTTCTCAGCCTGGTCAACAACAGCCTGGTTCTTGAGCACCTTGCGATAATGAGCGAAATCGACGGTGGTGGTCTGTTCCTTCAATTCACCAAGAATACGCTTGACTTCGTCATTGCGCTTGCGGAAAGCCTGGAGGGAGGCGACGGTCTCTTGAGGGAGACTGACGCTCAATTTGGTCCAGTCGAGGGTCTTTGTAGCGGCACGAACGGTAGAAGCCATCATTTTTGTTATAAAATATTATTTAAAAGAAGGTTACTTTTTCTTTTTCGCAATTAAAAACAAGTTTCTCTCTCTTCCCCCGCACACCATGGCCCTTGAATCGCTGGGCTTAAAAAACCCAACTACGTCAGAAGTTTGAATTTGCGTCACGAGATTTCAATTTTTATCTCTAAAGAGATGGATCAGGAACGATTTTCATGCACTTAGGATAACTTCCATGTTGTGCTTTATACAATATATATAAATATGGAAATACGTTTTTATTTATAAGAGTGTTGGTATGAAATCTTTTCATAAATAAACAATTGCAAGTTATAGTGCTTCCAGGAAGGAAAAAATAAAATACAGAACATTAAATTTAGCTCATTTGTCTAATATATATTAGCAAAAACTAGCTTTGTTTACACAACAGTCAGTTCGAACCGTTGAAATAGAAAACAACGGTATATAAAAGTCAACTGATGAAATGTTTATTTCTAATATGACAAGAAGTAAAGGTCGTTGATGAGCATATTATTTCCTATTTAAATAAAATATTTATTCCTTTTATTATTTCGAATAGATCTACAACTTTTTATAGAAATGATGTAGATAATAGAGATTCATATTATCATATATATAAAATATTTCATTTCGCAGTGGTACCAGAACCACCACCACAACGACTACGAGTACCACCAACAGGTTCATCATCAATAACAGACGCACAACTGGGTGTATTACCAAAAGAAGACTACCTATACTACCACCTAGAAGTTGGTCAATAGTTCCCTCAGAACCTAGAAGAGAAGCCATCCTTCTTCTATGATACGAATGTTCTAGTTTAATATATATATTGACAGAAACAAAATGATTATGCAAGAGTATTTGTATATTTCGTTTTTTTTTTATTCGAGAATGAATGTTGTGCAAGCACTTTCTTTCTCAGTCTTGGTAAAAAAAAAAAAAAAAAAGAAAGGAAACATAAAAGGGTGATTTGACATTGCCAAAACGAACCTTTTACTCATGACCTTTGTTTTCCCTGTTTGAAAATGTTATTTAACCTCAAAGTGCTATTTTATTTTTGTTTTGTTACACACACAGTATTTTGTTACATTAAACGATCTTGTTACAGTTTACTCGATATGTATTTATACTCAAGCTCTTCTTTCTTTCTCTTTTTTTTCATTTTTATCCTATATATTGCTTCGCATGGATCGTAATAGTCTATCGCTATTGACAGGATATCTGTCTGTTGTATGCTGGCTTATTGTCTTTACGCCGTAAATAATATATATTTATTTATCACAAAAAGTAGTTCTTCTCTCGTTGACACTTTTCTTTTTTAATTTCTAGGCAATTCATCGAGAATTATAAACGTAAAAGCGGTGAAAGTCTTTCAATGACCTTTTTGGTTATTTGGCTAGCAGGCGACATTTTCAACTTGTTAGGTGTTGTCATGCAGAACTTACTTGTTACCATGGTAAAAAAATTCTCTATATCTTACCCTCCATTTCATCATGACTCATCACGGTAAAAAAATAGTTTGTACTAGCACTCTACTACACCGTTTCAGATATCTGTCTGATTTGGCAAATATTCCATTACCGCCATAAGCAAGTCTTATTCAGAACCCAGTCCGAAACAGATCCTCTTCTCTATCGCAAAAAGATGAAGAAGGTCCATTCCTCAAGTCAAAACAAGAAATGGTTTGACCTCTTCTGTGGATCCGTTATTATACTTACAACGGGACTCTCATGCTATTTCTATTATCAAGCTGGTCATCAGCCGGATCAAAGCCCTTTGCCCGAAGAGGAGATCCA